CACCACCGCAGCGGTCATATCATTCTTCATCACGGAATCCCCAACGGTAAGAGGACCAGTAGGGGAGACGAAGGATGGGCGCCATATGTTGTCTGGAGAAGGCGGGGCTGCCTCTTCAACAAGGTTCAAGTCAAAACGACGGTCGGAGGGGCCAGACATTTTCAAAGGTGTTGAAGAGAGAAGAGGTCGGACAAATCAAGATCTTAGAAGTGCAAGAATGAAGCTTCTACTGGTGGAGATTCAAGTGTGCTTTGGAACTTAATGCCAGCCCCTATAAAAATCTGCACTCGACGGAGCTTCAGAAATCGAAGAGGCGCCTGCTCAGAAATCGAAGAGGCGTTTGCTTTCTCAAAAGCTGGGCTGCTTAGAGATCACGAGGGTTGATCTCAGAAATCGAAGAGGCGTTTGCTTTCTCAAAAGTTGGGCTGCTCAAAGACCACGAAGGCCGATCTCAGAAATCGAAGAGAGGCGCTCGCTTTCTCAAAAGCTGGGCTCCCCAGAGACCACGAGGGCCGATCTCAGAAATCGAAGAGGCACCTACTTTTCCAGCCTTGTCAGCACCTGTCACACGCACACTCAGCTTTGCGGAAATTATGGGCATTCTGTCGAAGACTTCTGGGGAAGTAGAAAACACATGAATCTTACTGTTCAATCACCCACTTCCCACACGCAACAATAGCTCATGGGTACCACAGATAACTTTGCCAAAGTTCTCTGCCAAAGTTGAGCACGTGAAGCTTGCAGCTCCCACTACATCGCTCTGACCAAGAAGGGTAAAAGAATAGCAAAAAGAAACAGCACTAACAAAGTTTAGACCCATAAATTTTGAAGGTCTAGCTACCATATTATTACCCACAAGGGTAAAGGAACAGTACCACTGCTGGATAATTGGAAAGTCCCTGTGTGTCAACCTCTGTGCTTCGTGGCAAGGTAGACTAGCAAACATGCCCAACCTTTACTCACATTCGAGAAAACACTCCCAATAAGATTGCTTGCTCCAAAATCGAAGAGGCACCGTCCTCCGAATCTCGAGAGCCAGACTCCCAACATGACTACTTTCTTAAAAATCGAAGAGAGGGTAAAGGAACAGTACCATTGCTGGATAATTGGAAAGTCCCTGTGTGTCAACCTCTGTGCTTCGTGGCAAGGTAGACTAGCAAACATGCCCAACCTTTACTCACATTCGAGAAAACACTCCCAACAAGATTGCTTGCTCCAAAATCGAAGAGGCACCGCCCTCCGAATCTCGAGAGCCAGACTCCCAACATGATTACTTTCTCAAAAATCGAAGAGACACTGCTCCCCGAATCTTCGAGAGCCAGACCCCCAGCATGATTGCTTTCTCAAAAATCGATGAGGCATCGTTCTCCGAATCAATCGAAGAGGCGCTCGCTTTCTCAAAAGCTGGGCTGCTCAGAGACCACGAGGGCCGATCTCAGAAATCGAAGAGGCACCTACTTTTCTAGCCTTGTCAGCACCTGTCACACGCACACTCAGCTTTGCAGAAATTATGGGCATTCTGTCGAAGACTTCTGGTGAAGTAGAAAGCACATGAATCTTACTGTTCAATCACCCACTTCCCACACGCAACAATAGCTCATGGGTACCACAGATAACTTTGCCAAAGTTCTCTGCCAAAGTTGAGCACGTGAAGCTTGCAGCTCCCACTACATCGCTCTGACCAAGAAAGGTAAAAGAATAGCAAAGAAACAGCACTAACAAAGTTTAGACACATAAATTTTGAAGGTCTAGCTACCATATTATTACCCACAAGGGTAAAGGAACAGTACCACTGCTGGATAATTGGAAAGTCCCTGTGTGTCAACCTCTGTGCTTCGTGGCAAGGTAGACTAGCAAACATGCCCAACCTTTACTCACATTCGAGAAAACACTCCCAACAAGATTGCTTGCTCCAAAATCGAAGAGGCACCGTCCTCCGAATCTCGAGAGCCAGACTCCCAACATGACTACTTTCTCAAAATCGAAGAGAGGGTAAAGGAACAGTACCATTGCTGGATAATTGGAAAGTCCCTGTGTGTCAACCTTTGTGCTTCGTGGCAAGGTAGACTAGCAAACATGCCCAACCTTTACTCACATTCGAGACAACACTCCCAACAAGATTGCTTGCTCCAAAATCGAAGAGGCACCGCCCTCCGAATCTCGAGAGCCAGACTCCCAACATGATTACTTCCTCAAAAATCGAAGAGACACTGCTCTCCGAATCTCGAGAGCCAGACCCCCAGCATGATTGCTTTCTCAAAAATCGAAGAGGCATCGTTCTCCGAATCTCGAGAGCCAGATACCACAGACCACTTTTTCAAAGTGCTCTGACAGAGTTAAAACATGTGAAACTGGCAGCTCCCACTACCGTGCTATGACCAAGCAGGGTAAAGGAATAGCATTACTACTTGTTGTTAGGGAGACTCCTATATATGTCGACCTCCATCCCCAACGGACAGGCAGACCTGCAAAAATGCTCAACCCTTCATCATATCTGAGAGGGCACTCCCAACGAAGCCTTTCGAAATATTCAGCTTTCTTTCCCCCCGATAATACCTCTGCAAACAAGCTATACTAGAGCAAGAATATCTCATATCATCAGGGTTAAAAGCAAGAGTATCCCATATCATGCTTTTTTCCCTGTCTTTTCCTTTGGCCTTGTTTTTACCTGCAAGACAAGGAGAAAGAGAGCAATCAGTCAGCACTTGGAATCAAGCTTCCAGCCAGGAACTGACTGCCTGGAACCCCTTACCTGATTACTTACCTGGCATTGCTCTCGAGTACTCATCTTCAACATCTTATGTTTCCAGGGAAGATTCCGCATCTGCTTGAGGAACAGATAGGGCAAGTGCGAAGGATACAAGGAAGCATGTGGAGACAAGCGTAACAGCACACGTGCCGATACATCCATTACTCTGTCAAAAGCAAAAGTATCCCATATCAGCAGGGTGGAACGTACTCTAGATTTGATGGACTTGTTTTGACCCTCAAATTCTTCAGTCGGCCTTATACTCTGGAGGAAACCAGAAAACCCTCCAGCTCAGTTCAAGAATAAGCCTGTGGAAAGTTACTTCTTCAAAAGCAAAAGTATCTCATATCATCTCTTCTCATTTTTCTTCTCTTTATCCTTCATGCTGCTGCAAGATGGGGAGAGAAGGTGAACAATCAGTCGGAGCTCTGATTGCTTACCTTGTCTGTCACCTCTTTCAGCAGACCCCCTAGCTCGGCGACTTGGGGGACTCCTACTACATGGTTTGTATCGCGCTTGACCAAGCCTGAAACTACAAGTAAGCTTCAAGTGAAATTGATACATTACCTTGTGCATCTCCACCAGTTAAAGATACCACCCCTGGATGGAGGAAGAGTACTTCCAGAGAAGATGCCACATCTACCTATGAGACAGATAAGGCAAGTCAAGACGACACCACACTCCGATACTTAGAAGTTTCGTGATTACGAGATCATTCTCCCACAATATTTCCTAATGTCATTTGTACTAAATCATTCACTTGTACTCACTAAAGGAGAGCTTGAACCTATGTACTTGTGTAAACCCTTCACAATTAATGAGAACTCTTCTATTCCGTGGACGTAGCCAATCTGGGTGAACCACGTACATCTTGTGTTTGCTTTCCTATCTCTATCCATTTATATACTTATCCACACTAATGACCGGAGCAATCTAGCGAAGATCACAAAAAGCGACCGTTTTCGCTACCTAGGATCTATCTTGCAAGAGAACGGAGAATTAGATGGAGATCTCAACCATAGAATACGAGCTGGATGGATGAAGTGTAAGAGTGCATCCGGCGTGTTGTGTGACCGTCGTAGGCCACTGAAGCTCAAGGGAAAATTTTATAGGACGGCAATAAGGCCAGCGATGTTGTATGGCACAGAATGTTGGGCGGTGAAGCATCAACACGTACACAAAATGGGTGTAGCGGAGATGAGGATGCTTCGTGGGATGTGTGGGCACACGAGAAAGGATAAGATTGGGAATGAGGATATCCGAGGTAAAGTAGGAGTAGCCGAAATTGTAGGAAAGATGAGAGAAAATCGGCTCCGGTGATTTGGACATGTGCAAAGAAGGCCGACTGACGCTCCGGTTCGAAGATGTGACTACGGGACAGAGGTTCAGGGCCGAAGGGGTAGAGGAAGACCTAGGAAAACCTTGGAAGAGACTCTAAGAAAAGACTTAGAGTACTTGGATCTAACGGAGGACATGACACAAAACCGAGCGCAATGGCGTTCTAGGATTCATATAGCCGACCCCACTTAGTGGGAAAAGGCTTTGTTGTTGTGTTGTGTTGTTGTAATAGCTTAGCGCAAGCTAGTCATGGCTATATAAATTGTATTCTCATAGTTGTAAGATCAATAGAGTATCAATGTAATCCATGACTTTCTCTCTCTCTCTCTTATTCCCTTTTCTCTCTTCTTCTTCAATACATGCTCTGTCTGCAACTCTTTATTTTTGTTAACAAGATTTTCATAATTGTAAATTAGTCCTGTTTGAGAGGTCTTGTCTATTATTTTTGTAAATTAGTCCTATTTAGTCTTCTTGTTACAATTATGCTGAAAACGTTGTTGAGCATCCTCATAGTCCTCGTTGAGTTGAAGGGCTTTCTAGCCGCATGATTGTTTTAACTCTTCTCCATGCTGGATTTAGATCTTTCTTGCGTTCAGCACCATTATGCACCGTTTCAGTAGACCTTCCGCATCGAGTAACTGAATGCTATCACTGAGATTCCATGGAGAGAGAGAGAGAGAGAGAGAGATAATTGCCTGAAAATAGAGTGTTACTCATGCCTTTGACATTTTTAGAATGCGTCCACGTAATTACGTCAGTCTCCGTGTATTTGTTTGCTTATTTGGTTCTGTTTTTTAATAAATAAACAAGCCTTGGAGTTGCTAGTAAATGTTCTAACTGCAAAGTTACTGCTGGACTGATATTATTCCTTGGAAATTTGTAGAGGGAAGAACTAAGCTTTTCTTGGTTACAGGAATTATATCATGAGATTTGTTCCTTGGACAAACTTGACAAAGAGTACCGGTGTAAGCTTCAAGAGCAAATAGAGAATCCAGAAACCTGCCAAAGAGGTATTTGCATTTTTTATTTCCTTTACAATGTAGTGAAATTTTGTCTGCATTTTTTTTTCAGTTGATGATTGAGTGTATTAAGAAATTAAGATTAGATTTCACTTAAAAGGTTTTCAGTTCACCTGTGCTGTGTGTGTGCATGCGGTGCACGACTGTAGACATTTTTGTTGCCAGTTTTGCTATGCCCATGTTTACGTAATATACATTAATACTACTTCCGAAGTCTGTTCAATATGTAATTAATTTACTGTTATTATCCATTAAGTTTTTCTCTGTAACTTTACGTTTGCCATGCCTGGCCACTCAAATGCTCCTATGGGTGATCCAAGTCGATACATCTCCGATTCCCGTGGGGTGTTTCATCTAATGGTGTCTTCTTCAGTTTATATAATTATTGTGTTTGCCAATGAAATGGCTACACAATCGTAAAGAAAGGAACTTAATTGTACTTTGTTTGCTTATCACGCGGAGTAGACAGCCTCGCAATCTTAAGAGCAGAGGTGAAAAATCAAAGGAGGCTTTTGAGAAGTTTGAAGAGAAAATCATTTTGGCTCAGGATGTTAGAAGAGGTAGGTTATAAGTGTTTCTAGTTCTGTATGTCATTTAGGTGCAAACGAAAATTACTTTTCTTTCTAAACTCTAATAATATCTGATATTTACAGGTCGTGGAGAAACTTGTCCATGTTGTGCGTTTTTTACATAAGGAGATTCATCACGAAGCATTTAGCAATGCAGGTATGCTTCAAAAGTCTGGATGAGATGTCTGATAATGGTCTTCTACGAGGCCTTCTAGTTCCGCTCTGAGATGCAGTGGAAAGTTGACCTTGTTGATAGCGTTCATCTCTAGTAATTTTTAAACTTGCAAAAGAAATATGTGGAAGCTACCATTGAAATCGATTATCAAGTGACTTTTATGTGATTCTATCTGGTCCTGCAGGAACCGATGATGAACCTGTGAATGATTCTCCGAATAATCACGAAACATTGGGGTCTGCTGGTCTTGCCTTGCATTATGCAAATATTATCACTCAAATTGATACGCTTGTGAGTTTGATGTAAATTCATTTTTAGTATTCTTCGTCCTTTAGGTTCTCAGAACAATCACAAAAAGTTGGGGTCTGCTGGTCTTGCGTTGCATCATACGAATATTATTATCACTCAAGTTGATGTTCTTGTGAGTTGATGTTATATTTATTTCCGAAATATTCAACCGTTGTGATAATATTTTTTCTGTCCCTTTAATTCAAGTGTAAACAAGTATGTGATATCATTAGTGAACTACTTATTACGGTGGTGCAAATACAATTGTTTTACCGTAAGAGCAGGTTTTAAGTTTCAATACCCTTTTAGACTTCGATATGTTTATTATGGGGTCATGCAACCTCTTAGTCGTTAGTGTGTAGCAACCAACTTTGAGTGTTAAAGAGTGGGTTGTATGATTGTATCCAGGTCAATTTCGGAAACATATTCTTGTGGGGTTGTGCAACCTCTTATTCTTAAGTGCCAAAATCTGTCTGTTTTCGTCCCTCTACTGTTCTTTTAAAGTTTTTGCTACCTCTAGACTGTTTTTTAATGGGCAGTCCTATGCCCGGGGGATTTCATGCACGGTAATAGAGTATTGGGTTCTGATTTCTGTCGGTTGGATTCCATATGTATAGGATGTTCGTGTGAGAATGTAGAGATCTGAGCTTGAAGGTTATCAATGGAGGTAATGAGATTGCAGATGTAGAGAGAGAGAGAGAGAGAGAGAGAAATGAGAAATGCTTCTTGTATATTTTTCAGGGTAATGAATACAACAGTAATGTTGCCTTTTATACTAGTTACATTGCTTACTCTCTAAGTAATCGTTCTCTCAACAAACTTAACAACTCTTACCACCTAATCTACTGACAAATGGCAGCATCTTGATCATTGATTGTAGCACGATCCTTGTCAACCTTACAGTTCGGACAATGCATGTGTATTAGCTTTCCTTCAGTTGTGTATAGCATAACTAGCAAATAGCAGGTTATAGTAGTTACCTGGTATATGACGGGAAGTTTTCTACTTTCTGTTAAGGCACAATAATCATTCTTCCCTTCAATCAAATTTTATGTTTATTGTTGCTTGATAAATGGAAATTTTATGCTTTATATCAAATCACTTGGGCCATGACCTCTGAGCTAATGTTTGAATGTAACCAGGTGTCTCGATCAAGTTCTGTGTGTTCAAACACACGCGATACTTTATATCAGGGGCTCCCGCCTGGTGTGAAATCAGCTTTGCGATCAAAACTGCAGTCATTTCAGTTTAAGGAAGAGGTATCTATACTTTTATTTAACAAGTGGAATTGTAACAACTCGCCTACATTGTATTTTACTACTACAAAGTAAGCTCATATTTGTATGCCCTTGCATGTACTGATCTATAACTTCAAATGCTTTTCTCTTTTTGCAGCATACAATCGCTGAAATTAAAGCGGAAATGAAGAAAACGTTGCAGTGGCTAGTTCCCATTGCCACTAACACAACCAAGTAAAGCTTCTTTAGTTTTTCTTTTATCCCTCTTAACTGTAGTGATTACATATTATCCAATTTTTTTGGTGTCCACATTCTTCATTTTTGACGATGTAATTATTCACAACTCTCTCTCATTTTCCTCAATTCTGTTTACTGATTACTTTTTGCGATGCGGTTTTATGTAGAGCTCATTATTGCTCTGGCTGGGTTGGAGAATGGGCGATGAACTGGAAACCTGCTGGTACTGACTTGCTGAGGATTGAGACACTGCACCATGCTGATAAAAATAGAACTGAGGCTTACATTCTTGAACTGGTGGTGTGGCTCCACCATCTCGTCAACCAATCGAGGGTTAGTATTGGAAGTATTCAAAGACCTCTAGGTAATTAGGGTCACTGGGTAATTTGGGTTCTGTCAACTACAAGATGTTTTACCCCTGGGTATTGCGTTGAGTCTCTAGGTGGTTAATAGCTTCTTGTGCTTTTCTTGTGATTAGGAATGCATGCTGCTTTTAGTTATGTTCCCTAAGCAGATGTTAAGGCATCAATCAAGGAGGTGATCAGTGTATTGATCACGCCTCCTCTTATATATGTTGTATCTGTGGGATAGTTTTCTCTATGAATGAAATACAAACTCAAAAATTAGAAAAGCAATAGTTAGAAACTGTGGAATAAGATCTCCTGTTAAATCCCCTCTTTGCTCCCCCAACCAGAAGGCAATTCAGTTATGTATGAACAAAACCAACTGCTCATCACCCATATTAACAGTTGAAGACCAAGAAATGCTTCGATACGTAAGTAAGAGAAAACTGACACCGGGGATTAGTAAGAGTCAAGAATTTGACACCTCAAGGACCAGGTTCAGCAAGCATAACCGGCTGAGCAAGAGTAGCAACCACTCCCCGACAAGTGAACGTAGGAAGGATCCATTTCCAATCAGGAGGCCATCCTCCGTTCCTATCATTGACTTTGATTTCGACCGGAGCAAAGCACTGGATGTCATTGATCGGGTGGACACAATTCGAAGTATTTGAATGCACAGGCGAAGTGGTTCTTGTGTATGTATGTCTTGTAAGTTCATCTGCGGCATTTGTCCCTGTCGTGTGCTCTTTGTTGTGGCGGTGGCGATGTCATGGAAGCGGGCATGGATGCTGAGAAACGAGAGAAGTCATGGCCATTTTGAATGTCAAAATGTAGGGTCAGAAATGTATTTTGATCAATGGAAGTTAAATTTCTGTAGATGGTAAGGATGCTGGTTTTTATACTTAGTGGCTAGTATGTACAGAATATTCAATTAATAATCCAAAGTTCATGCTCCTCCCTTGCTCTCTCAAAATACACTAACAATTATCATGATAGGATAACATTTATCCAAAATTCATATGCGGCGCTTATGTCCATTATTCCCGTGAAAAATGGTAGAAAGGACCTTGCATGTGCACTTATAAGTAATTGCTCCGTGGGAAGGCGTTGCATTAAAAGAAGAAAAAATGCACTAAATATCATAACACGAGCAAGCGCAAAGTCGTCTCAACTCTCAGTTTTAGAGTTGACTTGTCTCTTATCTAGAAATCGAAATCCCGCGTATGTTGTTTTGAGGTGATTATTGACGAAATCGAAATGAGTTCTATATTTTATCACAAAATATTTTAAAGGTTTTTTTTATTAACACCCCACGTAATGTTAAATACACCCCACATGAAAACTCAATATTAAATTACTTATATATCTATTATGCAATGACAATTTTTACCTCATAAAGTTAAATAAAAAATCTAAATACACCCCAAATCATAACTTTAACATGTATATCCTACAATTATTTTTCTTCAACTCTCAAAACCAATCTCATCCTCTATTGTAGAACAAAACCTAAATTAATGGAACTACAAACACGTTGATCACAACTTTAAAGCACATGGTTATTAATCAATAGCCTCCTGATTTTCATTCACTGTACCACTACATCTTCATCTCCATATGAAATCAACAAATCTTCCTTGTTTTGACGATTTTCACAAAGAGGACTCATAACTTGCAGATTCTCGTTATGACGCTTCAAATTACACCCAAACAAGAAGGGAAGGAGTGGAGCGTCCAAGTCAAGCTACTCACCTCTTTGGATGTGATACCAAAAGCTCTCGTAGATGCACATATGATTGGTTGTTTTGTACATACAATGAAATTCTTCAATCCAATGATTCATGAGGGTGTTCTATCAACCCCACATTCTTCTTCAATCCGGTTTCATTGGGTAAAAAGTTATTAAAAAAAACATGAAATATGTATTTGCACTTAAATGTGAAGTGGAGTGTAGGTAAAAAAATGTGGGGTGTATGTTGAAAGTGTAGGATGTGAGGATATTAAAGGAAAGTATATGGGGTGTATTAAGATAACTTTCAATTGAAAAAAACAAATGTTAAGTGTACTAAGTATATGGGTATATTCATCAATATTTGGGATGCTAATATAATAAGTGTATTTTAAATCAAATGATCAACTATCTTTATCATGAGTAAAGTCTTAGTTGTCATGTTTTGAGGTGTAATGCAGACATTGACCTATTTTAGGCTTGGCGGTTAAGGAAAAAGGACAGCTTCTTTGTGAATTTTTTTATTATTTTTTTAATGCAAGGATTATTAGGGTGAAGAAGGTTGTATATGGACTAATCATACTTTGATTTTGAAATTGTCTAAGTTGGATTTAAGACGTGTAATGCTCTAAACTCAAAATAATTTAAAGTTCGAGGATCAATGTAAGTCTTTTTTTTTTTTTTTTTTTTTTTTTTGTCTTTAACATAAGATATTATCTACTCTAAATAGTAGGGCTGTAATGTGATTCAAACTCGTCTTTGACGAGAATCGAACATATGACATCTCCCTTACAAGTAAAGAGAAATATCACAATCGTAATACTAAACGGCGTGGCATTCTCATATTTTTAAAAGATTAAAATGAATAACTTTTTTTTTTCCAGATATAAAATTCATGGAAGAGGATCATCTCCTAAGCTCAGAATCGGGATTCTCCTAACCACGAAATCTGGACCGTTCAAATTTAATCTAACATTTGCAATTATTATAACTTTTATATGATCTCCCTGTTTGGACTGTTTGGAGTAGTTGGATTAAATTTGAACGGCCGGATTACGTGATAACGAGGAGCCCAGGAGAGGATCCTCATTGAAAATTCATACTCTCAAACCAATCGAAAACGAGGCCTTATTTGGCGAGGTTCAATGTTGAAAAAGGATCCTACCTGGTAACCGCGGAGAAAAGAGACAACTCCTCCTGCGCCTGTTTGGTAACGGAAAAAAAAAGGCGCTAAAACATATATAGACATCTCCCCGAAAAGTCGTCCGAGAATTTTCTGAGTCTTCTTCTCTTTTCACCTTCATTCATTCATTCCATCATCACCTCTCTCTCTATAGACATATCCACTGTTCACATATACCGGAATTGGTACTGATTTGGGCTTGAATTCTTTCAATAGTAATGGGCGGGATTCTGAACATGGTGAAGAAGCCGCCTAAAGTACAGCATGTGGATATAGTTTTTCCCAACAACCATCACGAATATGGTGACAAAGGGTCTGACAAAGGACTCAATGATGCGTTTCCTTGCTTTCCTAAGCGGACTGCTGCTCCAAAGGTAAATTCGTCGCCTTGGTGTAATTTCCCAACTTTGTTTTACTTATCTGGTTCGTTTGAAATTGGAATTTTTTGTTGTTGTTGGAAATTGGATTGGTACCTTCTTATTGATTAAAAGGTGCAGATGTAAAATTGATTAACATTTCTTGTGGTTGTGTGTGTTTTCTGCCGAGTTTCAAACCACAGAATTGCTCTTGGCTAGCTCCACTGCCCGAAATTTGGAGCCGTTTCGGTGATCATATCACTACCAAACCTGAAAGTTACATTTGATATTCTTAGTGAGATATTAAACTCAAATTTTAGGACCCTTTTGATAACTATTTGGTTTTTTGTTTAGTTTTTACTTTTCGTGTATGAGATATGATAAAGTATATGGATGAAAAGGAGTGATGAAGAATGATAGTTAGAGGAAGGGGAATAAATAAAGAACAATGGATGAAACAAAATCTTCGTAAGTGAAAACAACTTGAAATAGATTTTGGTTTTTAGTTTTTATTTTGTCTGCCGTTTCTGATACATCTCTTCTACAACTATGCCACCATCCTTCCCACTCTTCTTCATTTCCCATTTCCCCCTTCTAATTTCCGCATATCTTAAGCACAAAACGCAAAAGCCTAAAATCTAAACATCAAATGGTTATCAAACAGGCCCTTAGTTTTTGGATTTTTATTTCAAGAACAGTTTTATAGGTCGTACCCAGTGCACAAGGCTCCCGCTTTACGCAAGGTCTGGGAGAGGTGAATGTCGGCTAGCCTTACCCCCATTTATGGAGAGGCTGCTCCCAAGTCTCGAACCCGAGACCTACCGCTCATGGGCGAAGGCACTTGCCATCGCTCAAGAACAGTTTTATAGGTGTTGAGAACATTTTTATTTCAAGAACATTTTTATTTCAAGAACAGTTTTATAAGTTTATTTATACCCACAACTGTGTATAAGATGATTGAAGGGGTTAGTACATCCTTGTCGTATGGCTTTTTGTCTCATTCATGTTTTTGAACATTAGTCTTAAAACTATTTTTGGTGTCTCATTCATGTTTTTGGTTTCTCATTCATCCTTGTCTTAGAAATTGTTTTTCATTACCGAGAAGACAAGAAAATATCTGCTACTGCCTACTGGTAGTTCGTGAAAAATGAAGATACAATATTTATCCCTAAACAATGTAGATGAAATAAAATCAACGGATCTTAAGTTTTGTAAGTACAGGCCACTCCTTCCCGATTCTATGAACCATTCTACCAGGAAATAGTTTCAGATTGATCCACCAACTATGTTTTCTTACTCATATAACTGTCTGTAAATGCAAAACGAATATCTGTAGTCTTCCCATACATGGGTTGATGTCCTTATCAGTTCTGTGTTAACTTTTTCTTGACAAAGTATTAAAAGAGGAGAGGTAAACGTTATTTATGTTGATGGAGAGATGGTCAATAAAGATGTTTCCAAACCTAAATGCTCACTAACATTATTATGCCGATTGACAGCGTAGTTTGCTAGTAATTTACTGCCGTTATTTAATTATATATTGTAAGGCCTGAGTTATAGTTGGTCTGAATATTGAAAATTATGGATAAGTTTTTGAGAGACTAAATAAGTTTCTTTTGTTTTATAGGTTTCAGAAGCAAGTTCACTTTTGGGCTGGGGTATCAAAATTCTAGACAAGCTTGGTAGTGGCATGAAAAATTTGAGCTCAACTGATTTTGTCGTTCCACAAAAAGGGAATAAAATTTCAATTTTGGCTTTTGAAGTAGTGAATACAATTGTGAAGGGTGGCAACCTAATGCAATCCCTTTCAGAGGATAACATAAGACATTTAAAGGAGGTGGTGTTACCATCAAAAGGGGTGCAAACTTTAATATCTACAGACATGGATGAGCTCCTGAGAATTGCTGCTTCTGACAAGAGGTGGTTGATCAGAATAATACTATTTGTTGTTGTTTATTATTCGCCGTTAATTTTCTGATTATTTCCTTACATGTTTGTTAAATCAATTGAATAATGTTATCCTGTTTTGGTTTGGCAGAGAAGAACTGAAATTATTCATCAGAGATGTGGTGCGCTTTGGAAACTATTCGAAAGATCCAACGTTTCATAATCTGGATCTCTACTTTAAGAAGTAATACTACTGGAATTTTGTGACTATTTACTTTCTTGGTTATTTGCAACATTTTAACTGAGATTCTGATGTGTTCAATCTGGAATTGTGCATTCTATTAGGATTGGTTCAGATGATACGCAACAGAAGCATTTTAAGAAGCAAGCGCAGACAGATATGAAAGAATTGATGGCTTTAGTTCAATCAACAGCAGTGAGTATTGACGTATTAATGTTTTATAGAAAATGCTAGTCTCTTAGTTACGCTTGTATTTGTTAATGGGTTAGCTTAAAAATTCGTATTCTGTTTATCACAGTTTGGGTCAAGTTTAAACAATATCAGAGCACAAATTCCTTTTCTTTCCCTGGGAAGACGTTATATGCATGCACAGTAGCTCTTATCTCTGGGTCGTGGTTAAATGAGTTTTCTACCTAACATTTTATTTTCTCTTAAGGAATATGATGGAGAAAACATTCATTATCTTCTTTTTACGCTTCACTCCATTACCTGAATAAGTAAGTGCCTGTATAGTCTGGTTTTCCGTTTAAATTTTTTTTCAGATTGACTGTTGGAAGTGCAGTCAATCTATTTACCTTTAGTGGAACTGCACATATTCATTGCTAAAAAGTCATTGCATGAATATTATCAGAAAGGAAAGTGTGAAATGCAGAGGAAAAGTTTTTGTTTCTTTATGTATTCAAACAAGTTTGGGAGCAGCCTCTCCATAAATGGGGGTAAGGCTAGCCGACATTCACCTTTCCCAGACCCTGCGTAAAGCGGGAGCCTTGTGCACTGGGTACGACCTATATGTATTCAAACAAGTAGCCAGTGCTTCACTTTAGTCATTTACCAGCCACCATTCTCTCTTTATTTATCTGATGTTCCTTTAGCATTTTGCTTGCTTTACGCATTCAATTGAGAAATAGGCAAGGCTTGTTGCTGCTATGATTGCTCCTGCTATTATATTGCTGTTGGATAGATGTCAACTTAGATTAATTGCAAATCACATTGAGTATTTGTTGGTTTTAGTAGTTTTGAGACTAAAACTTTGTTAGAAGGTAAACTGAAGAGGATTTCGCGTTAGATGGTAAATGAGTGATGGAAATGATTGGCCGGTAGTCCTTGGTCCAGCATAACTTACGATACACAAGTATTTAGAAGTAATTGTATGCTTATCCTTTAGGTCAAGCTAAGCATCTGTTAAGACTTAAGAGGGATTGCATTGAGGCACACTTTTCTCGCCAAATCAGGGGACTTTAGTCACATGCACCTATGCTAAGGAGTGCATTTATTTGAAGTTCAGGATCAGAATTACATGTACTTATCTATAAATTGCACTTCACTTGTTTTGCTGAGATTTTTCTTATAGTTGCACTGTAGATAGACGGATAATAAGCCGTAAGTAAACAGTAGAAAAAGGCCCCTGCTGTGTTGTTGAGAATGAATCCCACATTGATGGGACAAGGGACCTTGTATGGGCTTATAAGGAGTTAGGCTACTTCCTATTTCCAATTGGCTTTATGGTGGAAGTGGAACCTCAACTTTCTTCATGGGATCAGAGCAGGTTGTCCCACGTGTGAAGCCCAACAGCCACACGTGCTCCATGTCACCTTGTTTATGTTCACATGTTTGGCTTGAAAATTGACCACACATGTGGGGGCATGTTGAGAATGAATCCCACATGATGGGAGAAAGAATTCCCCATATTGTCAATTGGTTTTATGGTGGAACCTCAACTTTCTTCAAGTATCAGATATTAGACCATAAACTGTGGTACCGTGCCAGTATTCTCAGGTCCTTAATCCAGTGTGGATGAAAAAAAAAAGAACATAATGTGGTTGAACTCAAAGAAACATTACTAGGGATTCCATATTCCAGTACAATTGTGCCAATAAATAGAAAAATTATGAATAGTAACTCCTTAGATCATTAACTAGTTGAAGGCTTATGAACCCAAGGGGAAAGATCTCTATGTCTTTCTCTCTCTCTCTCTCTCTCTCTCGTTTTAATAGCATATAATAGGCATGATGTTGACGAGACAAATACTTAACAGCATAGTTTATGGTATACATGTATTGTTTCCTTTTTTAACTCTACTGATGGAAAGACAAATTTGTTCCGTGGTTCCAGGAATTATGTCATGAGTCGCACTTGCTGGAGAAAATGGAACAAGATTATCTGCAAAAGCATAGTTTAAATGCTAGAAGAGGTATCATGCGGTTTGTTCTTCAGGCAAATTTCATTTTATTTTACATTATGGCGTTGCTGTAAAAATGAAAAATTGTTTCTTATTTATGATGGATGAGTTAAAGGCACTTAGAACCGTGGTTTGGTATTGCTGTGCTTTTAAAAAAAAAAAACTGCTTCTGCTATGCTGTGAGAATAAGCTCATTTTGGTTGCTTCACGTTTTTAGCTTTTTTTCACCTAAAACAGTGAAAATAAGCTGTTTTTAAGTGTTTACCAACCTTTTTGAGCTCAGCTTTTTTTTATACCCACTTTTTATAAAAGCACCTCACTACCAAATAGTACTATATCAAGTTGAATTTCTTTAAGTAGATTATTAAATTCTTAAACTGGATTCTTTCTTGGTTTTATATTTGTAGCCATAAGGAAAATCAGAAATCATCATATGGTTTGAATAATTTCTTGACATGTAGGAGACCTTGAAATTGCAAGAGCGAAGCAAGAGAAGCAAGTGAAGCTTGTAAGCAGTTTGAAGAACAAATCACTCTGGTCTAAGACTTTTGAAGAGGTAGCAAGTCATTGTGCGTTATTGAACTCTTTCTAGGTGCATACAGGAAGGAAAATGCAGAATTTAATGTGTCACGAGTATTGATAATCAACCTTGATGGGTTTTCCTGTTTCCTGATATTATCACCCATGTATTCACTCCAGAAGTAGTATCTGGTGAAGGATACTCCAGAAACTCAATCTGAAATCTTGTGTTCACAGGTTGTGCAGAAGCTTGTAGACGTTGTACACTTATTACATGTAATGATTCATGAAGCTTTTGGCAGTGCTGGTATGTATTAAAAAATGAAATATCCAAATCATGGCCCCGCCTTGTTTGTCCTTTCATCCTCGTACTATTTCGTTGATGTTATAACAACTTGATAAAAAGACTGTTACAATGGATCTAGAAGCATGTGATAGGCAAATACTTTTGTTCTGAAAGAAAACTATTGATTAGTGTTATCTTCCATCTAGACTTTACAAATCAGATTACTTGTCTCTCCTATTGCTCTTTGTGGCTTTAAAGATATTGATATGTCTCCCTTCTCCCCTGCAGCTGAAGAACCAGTGGAAAATTCTGAGAGGAACTATAAGAAGTTGGGGCCTGCTGGTATTGCATTACATTATGCAAGTATTATTTCACAAATTAACACACTCGTAAGTGATTGAATCACCTGCTATTTAAACCTTTTTTAATTTTATTTTTTCTTTGGTGATGTTTTTCCTTTCTTATGCTCTATAAACTTGTATCATCTCTACAATCTATTCCGCTATTAGTCCATCAAATGAGTCGAAATTGAAATCAGCATAGCTTGCAGAAGTTGTGGAGTCTGTTTGCATTTATGAGAAATATCATGTGTTGTTTTGTTGTCAAAGCTCAACCTCATAGGACAACTAAACTGCAAACAAAGATCATAGCACAAGAAGCTATCACCACCATGACTCGTGGCACGAAGTTCTGCCTCACACTAGACCTGGCCACCAGCAATTGTTTTAACTTGGCAATCTAGGCAATTCTGTATAGGTATAAGCTCCGTTCTAATGAATCCGTGTCTAGGAAATAGTATACCCTTGCCGCAAAGACCATTAAGGTTATGGAGGCTACTGAAGACTACTTCCATGCTAGATTCTCTTGAAAATAGGATATCCGAAGTGGGGCATTCTGAGCCCTGCACTTCGATGCATAGGAGCTAGATCAGTCAACTATTTGCCAAATGGTTTCAGGTTAGATGCTTCAATGTTAATAATGATATCAGAACAGGTAATTCATAAATGTCCTAGGCCTAATGCATGCTTTACATATTACCTGACATAATTGATCTGCATATATTATCAGATCCATTTCTCAACAACCTCTTATGTCAAGGAGAAGTGAATAGATAAAACTAAGATCAATATTTACTAAGCTTTTAGAGAAGTCATTTGGAGGCAGAGGCAAAAAGCCAAGTAGCCAAATTTCATGATTTTTTTTAAAGGATTTAAGTGTGTTTTCCTGTTTCTTTTATCGACTTTTAACTCACCGGGCTGGGAATGTAGTCTTACACACTAGTTGAGTTTCTTTACAACCTTTTTTGTCAGTCTACTCAAATGTGGACGTAAGCTTTATAAAAGTTACCCAGAAATTTCACTGTGCGATAATGTAGTCTTCCTGGGCATTGGAACGAGGAAAAACCAGACACCATTTTGCCCTTTTTGTATGATATGACTGATTGAAATTACTCTGTTTTATATATGCATGCAAGTGTGTACGAAAGGCTTCTTAAACAGGATCCTCCACTCTTGGATCCCTTGCCATTTGAACACCATGTTTGTTTTCTTTTCACTTCCTTGAACCCTAAGCATTAAGGCTTAAATCCCACTCTACACCCAAAACTAATAAACCATGTCCTATTTGAGGAAGAAGATAAAACAGGCTGTTCATTAGGATTTATATTTGGGATCTTAGAGGATTCTCATATTATTTTTGAACAATCTTTTTCAACTTTCATTCCAGAGGTCGGTCATTTTTCTATTGAGTGTGAAAATCAAAAGGCATTTGGAGATGCTCAATATTGAATCTTGTTAGTCACGGGCTTGTGCTGAGCTAATGTCTGAATGCACCCAGGTGTCTCTGTCTCGATCAAGTTCGGTGGCTCAAAAGTTGAGGGATACTTTGTATCAAGGGCTGCCATCCAGTGTAACGTCAGGTTTGCGCTCAAAATTACAGTTAGTTGAGGTGAGCTATGTTCTTTGTTGCACTGCTATTCCAAAAGTTATTCCCTTTCAAGCAATTTCTGTTGAAGATTTAACTTAACAAACGGCGTTTCATGCAGCTCACCATACCTCAAATCAAAGCTCAAATGGGGAAAACATTGGAGTGGCTTGTTCCCGTTGCATGTAACACAACCAAGTAAAGCTCCTACTCTTTACATTTATACTAATTGGGCCTGATAACATCTGGTAACCCTTCTTAAAAATTAGCGTATAGATCGAAACTCTCACAACAAAAAACACTTTGGGAATATCATGATGAATTCTTAAGTGACCAGATGCTATTTTTGCTCCGTTTATATTTCTGCGACAATTTGACTGTTTGAAACATACTTTTGGTTTTCTTTCTAACTTGGACTGGTCGTGACTGTTTTAATTTGGTCTGTGTAGAGCTCTTCATAACTTTGGCTGGGTCGGAGAGTGGGAAAATGCAGAGTAAGTTATCGTCTCTCACTTATGCTTTTCCCCCCTTGTATATTTATTAAGCTTTTCTAACTGAACTTTGTAGGTTTGAGGCACGCTGGAAATATAGTCACCAGACTGGCATTCTGATGATTGAGACACTACACCATGCTGATAAGGCAGTAACTGAAGCTTATATCTGTCAACTTATCGTTTGGCTACACCATCTGATGAGCCAGGCGGGGGCTGGTGTTGGTGGAATGCCGTCAACTCCTGTTATTAATCGGTTATCTACAGACAACGCCAACTGTTCGTACCCCGTGTTGACACATGAAGATCAAGAGATGCTTCAAGATGCGAGTAAGAACAACCTGAGGCTTGGAATGAGTAAGAGTCAGAATTATGACACGGGACAGACCAGGTTCTGCAAACGCCATAGGCTGAGTAAGAGCTGCGGACACTCCCTAGCAAGTGAAACCAGGAAACATCCATTCCCCATTCAGAGTCTGACATCGAGGCCTCGGCCGATCGACTTTGATATCGACCGGATCAAACTGTTGGATGTCATTGATGGACTTGACACAACCAAAGGCTCCAAGTAGCTGCAGATCAACATGTTCTGTATAAAGGTCTCATATGTGTAAATTCTTTCTTTCTTTCTTTTCCTTTTTGGTAAGGTTTAATCCATCGATTCAATTTAATAATCAATGGACCAAAATAATTTGACAAAATTTGAGGGTATTTCTATTATTTTGGTCTTATTTAACGGAGATTTTTCACATAATAACCAAAATAATTAACAGTGGACAAACTTAAGGACTAATTCTATCGATTCAGGAACCATTTTAGCTAAAAAAAATTCTAACAATAAATCACAAATAACTCGTAAACATTCACACATGATTTAAAGAAGGTAAAGGTTTTGAAATGTCATTCAATCTGTCGATTTATCATATTAATTTTTTAAAATTATTAATTTATCATCTCACTTTAATTTTCTGAAAAACTTACTATCACATGGTTTGTGTTTCGGGTTCTCTTTTGGACTTTTCAACTGAAATGTGGTTTGTCTCATTATTTGGCGCCCTTGATTGGTTGTTGCTAAATTTGATTGTAGTGCTGTTTGTGGAGGCCTACACTAGGTTAATTGCATAGCTGTATAATTTAAAAAAAAAAAAATTTTATCATAAATTGTCTTTGAAATTAACCTATCTTATCAAGATGAATATAGTCCCTAAAAATAGGTATCGCAAATTAATGTGATCATTTCGTTACAATTTTGTCAAAAGTTTGTTATGTACTGATGTAAAACAAACTAAATCACAAGTCTAGTTAAATATTGTCATGTGGATTAAAATGTAAAAAATTAGTTAATTTTAAATTCTGAAATAATAACAAATAATAAAAAAATTAACAATCAAACTGCAGAGCTACGATAGATGATCAAATTATTTCTTTATTTTGAATCATTTATCCACATGATGATATTTTATTAAATTTGTGGGACTTATATACATGTTCGATCAAAACATAACAGATTTTTTTTACAGAATTGTGAAAGGGCCACATTGATTTCGATACCCATTTCATTTTTACATTTTCAATTTCAGAAACAATCTTAGTAAGATAGGTCATTTCACGAGTCATTCGTGATAACAACCCTTTTGAAAAAGCATAGATTTTTTTTGATGAAAAAAAGCTATGTGAAAGTTACTAAACAAACTGAAAAATAAGTGGTGTTGAAACTTCTTTTCTTGTCAATTTGTACAGAGATACACCTTTGTTTTAGTTAGACTAATGAGAAACCGAGGGTTCATATATAAAAAAGAAAGGGATCCTCTCCGGATCCATTTCTCCTAATCCACCAAGTTCGAAAATTTGGATTGTTGAAATTTGATCCAACGGCTAAAGTTATTTTAACTTTTAAAGTAAGCCCTTGTTTGTAGCTGTTTGATTAAATTTCAGAGGAAGGACTTAGGAGAGAATCCCTTTCCTATATATAAAAAAAAGGTTGAGAAGTTATGAAAAGGAGTTGAATAGTTCGAAAAAAAACTGTTTTGGATAAAATTACAATTTGGTGTCAAATTAGCCAAAAATAGAAATTAAACTTAGAATGTATTAGAGCATCTCTAAAGGAGATGTCAAAAAGTCTATATCAACAATAACGGTAAAAAAAGACATGATTAGTCTTTGCCAACCGAAATGTCAATTCCTATGTGGCATGACATGAAGGTATGGTTTGGGGTTGAGTGATTTAAAAAAAAAAAAAAGCTGGTATGAAAAAAAGTTGGGAGAGTTTTTGGTGTTTGGTAAACACTCCAAACTAGTTTTTTTTTTTTTCAAAGTTTCAGATGAAAAAAAGCTAAAAAGTGGAAGCTGCAAAAAGCAGCTTCAAAAAGTGGCTTATTTTCAAAGTTTGATTCCTCACACTTTCAGGAGGAAGAACAACGTCGCCACGTGCCGGCGACCCAGCTCCAATCCGTTGATCAAGAATTGCAAATTGATAGCCCGATCGTCCATTTCTTCATCGCCGCATTTCTCCTCCCCTTCATTGCTTTCTCCATCACCATCTCTGCCGCTAGCTCTGTCATCAGAAATGGTGAATTTCTCAGCCTTGAACGTGAGGCTGGAGTGCATAATTTCAGAAACCCTAGTCCCATAAGTTCCATTAAACCCTAATTTGGAGGTGGAGTGAGGGGAGGAGGAGAAAATGAGGATTGGGGCGATCTAATTGGGGCCGAAGAGGGAGCGAGCGTCGTCGTCATCGCCGGAGAAGAAATCATCATCTAATGTTCCGACACGGGTGAGGTGAAGAAATGGGTGATGTCGGCAGCGGAGAGAGATCGGAGAAGGGGACTCGGCTAGAGATCTGGGAAAGCGGTGGTTGGTATTCCCGGCGCCAGCGAGGTTGAGGCAGAAGAGGAGGGATTTGAGAGAAGGGTCACGGTCGACGAAAGAGGTGAGGAGGTGGGTCCCATTTTCAAAGACTGTGCAGAAGGAGAAGATGAGGAAGGAGAAGGTTACTAGCAAACGACGTTGTGGCTTGTCATAGCACATCTGGCATTATACATTTTTGGTCATTTCACACAGTTACAACTGTTTTACATAAAAGTTTACCAAACACTATCATACTGTTTTTTTTTTCTTTCAAAAGCACTTCTACAAAAAAAGTTTACCAAACACTATGCTGCTTTATTTCATAGTTACTTATTCTCACAGCACAACAGAAGCAGTTTTTTTTCAAAGCACAGCAATACCAAACCAGCTAGAAAGGGCAGCAGAGGAAGTTGTTGTCAAATTTGACAACAGCTTCAAATCTATTTTTAGTAATTAATAAATGCTTTTCATAATTTTTATACTTATCTTTTGTTTTAAAATACTAAACAACTATAAAAAGCAAATAATGTAATAAAAATTAACATATCGATTGGAGAACAAAATTAAAAAAAAAAAAGATCAATGTGTCACATAAGCCTTCAAATTTAAATTTTACGTTTAAAATTTGATATTTCATTTTAAGATGATCTTAGTTATAAGTGTAAATGAATACTCCGTGAGTAGAGGCATTAGCATGGATAATTATAACTGTAGCAAAATTTAGAGATTTCACGTGACATTTAGCATAAAGAAAATTATAGCATAAACTTAAGGACAAGACTAAAGTGTTATAACTTTGAAAACATATAGTCACGCTCAAAGCAGCAAGTGGACCTTACTTTTGACGGAATGTTGCACCTTCAGTAGAGTTCAGACAATTTAAAAAGTGGTTGAGTTGCCAGTATTACGATTGGTGGTTTTTTTTTTCACTTATAGGTAAGATATTTTAGATTCGAATCTTTTAAATAGTAAATTTGATACTAAAATAAATTTTTTATTCTATAGCTTAATCGAATTCCTTTTCTTATTAATGTAAAATATTTCGTTAAAAGAAGTGGAAGTTTTGTACGAGTTCCTGGTTCTTACGCGGCTCCGACGCTATGCTTTCTTGTGACCCCGATTTGATTTACGACGTGACAGCCGTTGACGTTCTTGTCCAATTTCAACTCATTTGGATATTAAACCAAATGTTAGAGTCGGATCCAATCAGATAAGATTCTTTTTTTGTTGTAATAGAATAGACACAAAAACGTGTTACTCGTGGTGGGTGGGTTCAAGATTTTCACACTACGGCGTCAAAGATGTAAACGTGATTAAAAAGAATTTATTAGGAAATAACAATGACAAGTTAAACGAAACATTCATACAAAATTTAAGAAAAAAATATTATAAGCTACAATTGTTCATAACGATTCTTCATATTCTAAATGTTAGAATAATCTGACCTTGAGAAACCAAATGATGAAGTCATAACTGATTTCAATTGTAAGTTTCTCCTCCCTTGTAGAAATAATATAGTCAACTTACAATATGTTTAAATCTAATAATGAGCCGGTTTTTTCCGTCCAGCATTTGATTTATTTTATGGACACAGAGGAGAGGACAAACTTGTGTTTTTTGTATTTTGGTTTTTTTTTTTTAATTTGGATCAAAACAGCGTCGTTTTGGCCAGGTGTTTAAAATAGAATCTTGCGGTGCTGGGCGCTGCACAACTCCTGTTGCTGCCTAGTTTTGGATAGAGCATTTTATCAAACACATAGTGTGCACAAAATGCCGGCCGTCCAGATGATCACAGGGTCAAGCGAGAGACTTCCCAGCTAATTTTCTAGCGACCAAGGGGTCAACTGACCCACTTTGACCCACTGTTGATAAAACCCTGTGTGTTACTGTGTTGGCACGTCCGTGCTTGGCTTACTGACGTAATCTAAGTTTATATGTTTTAATCACCAATTGATTAGTCCTTTGAATTTTGATTCCTTAGAAAAATGAAGACGCGACAAATTGAGGAGAGGAGGCGTGCGGAGTGAGAGTGAAGAGGAGAGTGAAGCGTTTAGGTCATATCATACCATAAAACGACAACAATTTGGTGGGTGTATGTATGAAAGGGACAGACTATTCGAATCGGTTCGGTTTAGTTTGATTTGAAAGCTACTGAAACTGGAATCGAACCAATAGCTTTCGGTTCAATTTGTTCTTTTTAGTTTTCGGTTTTTGGCCGACGTGAATACATGCTGGCATGCTTCTGCTCATTTGCCGGCAAAGAATACATTCCATGCCAGGTACGTACTTCCCCCTTTCTGCATGGGCTCAGAATATAAACAGATCGACAAAGGGAAACCAAGGTATGGCACTACGTACTACTATAATATATATAATAGTCAGCAGAATAATTTCTCCTCCTTCCTTCTTTTTTATTTGTTGGAGGAGAATAATTTCTTTATCGATCAAAAAAGAGATTATTATTATTTTTTTCTCTCTTCTTGAATAAAGTCAAGGGGTTATTTTCCAGTAGGAAGCTAATGTTCAATAAAATAGTAATAATACTTTTTTTTTCTTCTTCTTGTCTTATGGATACTTCCTAGTAATAACAACAACGATGATAATTGTGAGCTCCATAAGTTTTTTGTAATATTTTAAGGATTTAAAAAACATTTGTTTGTGTTAGCGACTTCTAAGTTTCAAGATGTTTATGCAAATTAAATTAAGAAAAATATGCACTATAAAACATTAGATATGAGAGATTAGAAATCAATTACATGATCATTACAAATAACTCCTACCAAGTAGTTTTTTACAAATTTCACTCACATGTCTTTGTAATGCCGTTGACCCTAAAAACTACTAAGCTTACATGGCGCACAGGCTGAGTAACT